GCTCTGACTGCCCCTGCCCCACATCTGTGCCCGCACCCTCCCCTCACCCTCCCCACCTGGCCGAGCCCATCTGCCCTTCCCCACCAGCTCTGACTGCTCCTGCCCCCACATCTGTGCCCGCACCCTCACCTTCCCCACCTGTCCTCTGCCCACCAGCACAGCTGCCCTCGCACACCAGTCCTGGCAGCTGCGGGATCCCTGCTCTTCTGCCCCACAGCTTGCTAGCTCTGGGGCCCCGGGCCTGCGGGGTCACCTTCCCAGCCCCTCGGTTTGCCTGACTGTGGCACCGCGCCTCCTTCCTACTGCTCCGGGGGCCTCAGTACACACCCCTGCCCACGCCGCACCCCCAGCCCAAATGAGTCCCGTCCCCAGTTGTTCGCCTGAACCTTGGCCAGGCAATGCCCTGTTTTCCACTCCGCTTGCCTGGCTGGGACTGGGGGTGCTGGGGGGCCTATGTCTGTCCAGTGGCAGAGGCTGTGCCCCAGAGCACGTCTGTGGGTGCTTCGCTGTGGGTCACTGAGCGACAGGAGCGGGCCCTCTGACGCCTGGGCTTGCTGTGTATCTAGGGCCAGTGCCCAGCTAGCCAGCTGACCCCGGCCTTAGGGGAGAGGTTCTTGCTGGCCGTCCTGACCCTGCTGGTAAGGCGATGATGTTTTCTGCTGGGCAGTGGCATTTAGGAACACTCTGCTGCTGCTGGGTTCAGGTGAGGCCCGACCAGTGGGTGTGTCACTTCCTGCGTGTTTTCCTCTGACAGCGCGGTTGGGGTCTGACTTGGGTGCTCTGAGATGCTCCCTGCTTGCCTTTTGGACCAAAGGAAGGGGCGGAGATTGCCCTCCTGAAGCCGGGCTTGCCGGGATCAGGGCCTTTCTAACTCTCCAGGGTCTCTGGTAGAGGGGAGAAGACCGGTCCTCGGGGGGCCACAGACGCACCCCTGGCTGTCCACAGGATTCAGCTTGCTGGACCCTGCTGGGACAGTCCAGCCTACCTGCAGGCTCTGCCCAGTGGTCGCCTGGCCTGGGTGCCCCCTGGAGGGCAGGTGCTGTTGTGGCTTGCCTTACAGGCTCCCCAGGGGCTGTGTGTGTGTGTGTGTGTGTGTGTGTAGCAGGGTGACCAGGAGGACCTGCCCGTGCAAGTCATGGGGCCAGGTTTAACCCAAAGGACCACTAAGATGTCTTACTGGTACCCGTGGGCACCTACAGCCAGAGCCCAGGGCACTGGGCCAGAGACCCCAAAGGGGTCAGCTTGTTGCACAGCACGATTGCTTGCCATGCCCTCCCCGGGGCCGCTGCCACAGATGCCAGTGCCGTGCCCTGCACGCTGGGAAGCTCTGATTCCTAGCCCCTCAGAGACCTCCATGTGGCACCGTTGACCCTTGTCTGGGATGGCTCTCAACTCTCTCGAGACCCAGGCAGGACCCCCAGCCCTGCCCGTCCACGTGCAGAGGGGGCACATTCACGGGCACAGGGGTTTGGGGGTACAGCAGCTTGCTGAGGGAATGCAGTCTAGCCCTGCACTTGGGCCTCACAGCTCTCACCTGGGCCTGCCCAGCCCAAGGCCCCCCGGGAGGAAGAGTGGGTAGTGGGCAGCAGCTGGGGGAGAGTTTGGTGACGGAGCGGGCCAGCAGCCAGCCTGCCTTCAGCAGGATGTGTCCGCCGGAGGGTGTGCTCCAGTGAGAGGACCCGGGGTTCCCTGCAGGGAGTGCTGCCTCCCCTCCACAGGGGTCTCCTGCCTGTCCAGGCCCCCTGTGAGGACCCCATTGTCCCCTCGCCCTTTTCTGCCCCTGGTGCCAGCGAGCCGGGCCTCCTGGGTGCTGCTTGCTCCCAGGGGCTTTCAGAGCCCGAGGAGGCGGGGTGGGGGTGTTTGTGCGGCGGAGGTGCCCACGCAGCAAGAGGGTGCTGGGCGCTGAGCACCCTGTGCTTGCAGTCACCTCGCAGCCGAGAGACCACTGCCATCAGCTGCTGGCCCCCTGCCCCACGTGGGCTTCTGTGAGGTCAGCACCCTTTGACCTGCGTCCGTTCATGGCAGCACAGCCATCTGGATGCACACAGGCCAGCACCCTGACACTAGTGTCCCACGGCCGCTCGGGCTGGGCCAGGCCCTTGGGCAGCTCGCTGTGGCCACAGCTGTGGTGGTTTTCACATGATTGCAGCAGTGGCCTGTGGTCTTGCTGACACTGTCCCCATCCCCGAGTCCTCTGGATGGCCAGTGTTTACATCCCTGCACTCCTGGCGATCCGTGTGCCATCACTGTATCACCCACTCCGCTCCGGGGATGGCCAGTGTGTTACTGTGCCCACCTTCCTGGTGGCCTCTCTCTGGAAGGTGCCCGGGCACTGTGATGCCCACTAGTCTCCAGGTGGCACATCCAGTGTTCCTGGCACCTGTGGGTGCATTGCACTTGGTGCTCGGATGCTTCCTGTTGCCGCCTTCTTGCCTGGCCTTTCCTGCGCCCGGCCCACCAGCCCAGGAGCTGCACTGGGACCACTGGGCAGACCTTCTGCGGGGACAGGCAGAACAGACACCATAGAAGGATTGTGTTGGTGAGCGGTCTCCAGGTGAACCCACAGCTCATGCTCAGAAGACCTGCCGCCACTCAGATGCCCGTGGGACAGTGGCAGATGTGGGGGACCGGCTGGCAGGAAAGGACAGAAGAGGGCGGGGCTCATGAGAATTGGCCACGGGCTCAGTGGTGGCAGCAGTCCGACCCAGAGATGACCTGGGTAGGTCACCACTGGCCTCCATCTTTCTGTGTCCTCTGACCTTACTGCCTGGGCCACCCCAGCGTGCAGCGGAAGCCTCGCCGTTAGGGGACTACGGGGGGATGTGGGCATGACCTGCCCAACAGTGTTTCTGGCCCTTCCTCGAGCCCACCCGTCTGAGGAGCTGGCGGCCCAGCACCCTGCCCTGTACCCCGTAACAGCCGCACTGTGGCCTTGGCCCCAGACATGGACAGCTGGTTGCGGTGTTCGGGCTGGTGGTGACCCAGAGTGCGGCCGGGTATTGCTGAGTGAGCCTAGAGGGCTGCAGGGGCCACCTGTGGGGTCACCAGCTGAGGTGGCTGTATGGCACACCCCAGAGCCAGTGGGAGGTTGGTGACAGCTGGGCGGGGCTTCAAGGGACCTTGTTGGACCTCCTTCCCAGCTGCCCACCATCCCTGAGGACTGAAGCAGGGCCAGTGTGGTGACAGGGCCAGCCCTGCCGTCACAGGCCCGGGAGGCGGGGCCAGGCCTGGCGCGGGGGCTGTGGTGGGGGGCCGTGGCTGAGCCCCGTGTGCCTATCTCCAGCAGGCCTCGCCTCACCGTCTCCGCGTCCCTGCGTGGGCCCATGGCAGCGGCCAGCGTGACGCCCCCGGGCTCCCTGGAGCTGCCGCAGCCTGGCTTCTCGCGCACGCTGCTGGGGACGCAGCTGGAGGACAAGTACCTGTGCTCCGCCTGTGGGAACTTGCTGCGCCGGCCCGTGCAGGCCCAGTGTGGCCACCGCTACTGCTCCTGCTGCCTGGCCAGCATCCTCAGGTGAGTGGCTGTGGCCCACCACCCGCCTCGTCACCCCGTGGGCACTGGTGCTCTGCTCTGCTTCGAGAACACGTGCTGTGTGCCCAGCGAGGACCTGGCCGTGAGCACGACCCGTCTAGGAGGGCCAGTGTCCAGCGGTTGGGCTCGAGGCTTCAGTGTCCCATCCTCCGAGGGTCAAGCGGTCGCTGACCTGGGAGGGAGATGAGGCCCGCTGCTGCCTCACCACGCTGGTCCCTCTGCCCGCAGCTCCGGGCCGCAGAACTGCGCTGCCTGCGTGCAGGAGGGCATATACGAGGAGGGCGTGTCCCTGCTGGACAGCGGCTCTGTGAGTGCCCCTTACGGCTCCTGGGGTTGGGCCAGCGTGGTGCCTGCCGGCTCTGCCCTCACCTGTCCGCCTGCCTCTCTCCCCAGGCTTTCCCGGACAATGCCGCCCGCAGGGAGGTGGAGGGCCTGCCGGCCGTCTGCCCCCACGCCGGGTGCTCCTGGACAGGCACCATCAAGGAGTATGAGGTAACGTTGGGACATGGACCAGGGGTGCCCAGGGCATCCGGGACTAGGCCTCCTGGACTGCGTGGGGCTGAGTCAGAGCAGACTCCTGGTGGCTGTGTCCCTGTGGACAGAGACCCAGGTGACCCCGGCCAGCCCCTCTCTGATCTGTGTGTCCCTGTGGACACTACCCTTCCCAGCCCTGCCACCAATGGGCCATGTGGCTTGGCTACCTGCACTTTCTGTGTCTTGCCCAGCTGCAGTGGGTCTGGGGACCCTGCATGCAGCCCCTCCAGCTGTGTCTGGCTGGAAGCTCCCTGTGGCCTCAGAGCACTGGGAGCCCGGCCAACCAAGAGCCTGTCCTGGTATCTCGGGGCGGGGCTTGAGGCTGGGTGGTGAACTGGGGCTGGGTGGGGGAGCTCAGGTAGCGTCTCCTCCCGGGGTGGGGGTTTGGCTATCCAGAGGTGTTTGCTTGGGTCTGGACCTGGGAAGTTGGGGATTCCTGGACTGTCTGTCCCCAGGACTGCATGGGCTAAGGCCCGAGGCCCAGCCTGCATTGTGTTCTTTCAGCTGGGCAGTTGTGCTGGCCTGTAGGTGGGAGGGGCTAATTGGGGGCAGGTCACTCCAGGAACCTGGGAGCTGTGTTCCCTGGGGGTATAGTTGCCCCTGCCTCTGGACTGCTGTCCCTCTGGGGTCAGCAGCTGAGTGTCCCCGGCTGAGGGCCAAGGGCAAGTGCAGTGTGAGGCTGTGGCGCCCTTGCACCTGAAGCAGGCAGAGTGGAAAGTCCCTGGCTGGGCCCGAGTGACTTGGAAAGTCCCTGAGGCGGGGAGGCCGGCTGGTGGTGTGGGCGGCCAGGGCTGCTCTGGGCGGTGGCCAGCCCCGAGCGTCCCAGGGTGGACAGGCAGCTGGATGGGCCCCAGGCCCTCTGTGCTGCCCAGCCCAGCCCCTCAGCACCACCGGCCAGCCCCACCTGTGTCCCTCCACTGCCCCTTTGTGCCCAGGACTGTGCTCTCCTGGCAGACGGCAGCTGCCCTCACGAGGCAGGGGAGCAGTATGGAGGGGAGGGGCAGGCCTTTTTACAGCCTTGGGAAGGTGAGCATGCCCGCTGACCCCAGGAGCTGCCTGCCAGCCCCGTCTGAGTTGCCCTGGCTGCGGCAGCACCTGTTGTCCGTGGCGTGGACACAGCTCCAGAGCAGCAGCATGTGTAAGGCTCCCAGGAAGCTCTTGGGAGCCTGGGAGGATGCCCTGCCCAGGGGGCCGGAGTGGGGGTCCCGTGCCAGGGCGCCTTTTGTTACCCCCCTCCCCCTCCCAGGTCGCCTTCTCAGGTGGCAGGGCTGGGTGGACCTGGTGCTCTGTGACGTAGCTGGGCATGGGCACAGGGCAGATGCAGCCCCGTGAGGAGATGGCTGGGGACGTCATTGCCTGGGTGACACTGCTCTTTGCTGCCACAGAGCACCCACGAGGGACACTGCCCATTCATGCCGACCGAATGCCCGGCCTGCAAGGCCGTCGTGCGCCTGAGCCAGCGGGCGCACCACGAGGAACTGGAGTGCCCCCAGCGCAGCCTCCACTGCCCCTTCTGCCAGGCCCCCTGCTGCCGCGCCGACCTGGAGGTGAGCCCCAGGCGGGTGGGCGGGCCTCCAGGTGCAGGAGGGCAGTGGGCCTGTGGGTGGGACGGGTAGGCTGCTCCTGGGGTGCTGTGAGGGGCACCCTAGGCTGTACCTAGTGGCCTCCCAGCCCCCAGACCCCCCCCCATCCACCTCCCCTCCCTGACAGCCAGTCCCTGAGGGCACCCCCAATCTGAGGGCTTCAGTGCTTCTGTACCCTGTCACCAAACTCCCTGGGCCACGCCCACAGGTGGTGGCTGCCCTCTTGGTCTGTGGCCAGCCTGCCTGTGGGGCCCCGGAGGTGCCTACCCTGGCTGTTGGCACCTTGGCTTGGTGGACGAGATGGGCCTCGTGTCCTCTGGATGTCCATCCTACATCTTGCTGAACACACCCATGTCCACGCCCTTGGCTTTCTGTGCACAGTTGACACTTTGCGGAGTGCGCCTGCATGTCTGGCTGTGCGTGCCCCCCGCTGCTTTGGGGGGTTGCGAGTAGGAGCTGCACGCTCGGAGCCTCGTGCATGAGCCCGCCCTCTCCCCGCAGGTGCACTGTGAGGTCTGCCCCAAAGTCCCGCTGACCTGCGACAGCTGCAGCAACAGGAAGATCCCTCGGGAAAAGGTGAGTAACCGCCAGCGGGCCAGGCCGGCAGGGTGAGCAATGTCCACCCACAGGGGCCTTGGAGGACGGGCCTGGTGAGCAGGGTCCTGCGTAGTTTGACACGTGCACAAACCACCTGTCCGCCGTGTCCTGTGATGGCCCGGTGTCCTCCCACACTGCTCCGCTTGCCTTTGGGGCAGCTGGGGTGGTGGGCCAAGCAGGGGTCCTGGCTGTGCTTCCTGTGGGGAAGCCCACGTGGGCTCCTGGCCAGAGCAGAAGGCAGGGAACAGCTGGAGGGCCGGGCTTCAGGCTGCTCCCAGGGCCGCAGCTGGCCAGCTAGAGTCTGTGAGCACACGATCCTGCTGAGGACACAAGCAGCCTTCTAGACCCTGCTCCGTGCGGGGCCCTGTGTGCAGACCCCGTCCTTGGGCCCCGCAGCCCCGCCCTCCCCAGACACTGCAGCACTCTGCTCCCTGGGCTGTGCAGACCCCCCCTTTCCCAGACCTGTACGCAGGCCCACACCCTCTGCTGTGCCCCAGTAAGTGCCCAGGTGGGGTTACAAGAGCCAGCAGGGGCAATGCAGTCCTCCGGGCAGTGTCTGTGGGTGGAGGCTGCCTACTGTCCAGCACACCTTCCTCCTCAGCTCTGGAATCTCACCCCGGGGGTGAGCAGCGGTCCTGCCCAGCCCTGTGCTGTGGCTTGTACTCGGCTGTGGGCAGGCCTTTCCAGCACTGCTTCTAGGCCTGCTTCCAGTGGGAGGTCCCCCAGGCCAGGGGGTGGTGGGGAGGGGATGCCTCCTGTCCCCACCACCCCAGACAGGGCCTTACCTGTGTGGCCACATGCCACACGCCCTGGTGGTCGTGATGGTATTAGTCCTGGAGAGGCGCCGTCAAGCTGGGTTTGGAATCTCACTGGGCCTCTAACTCCTACCCTGGGTCCTACAGAGGGACAGACGCCCTACAAGTAGGGCGGCCATATGGGTATCCTGAGACCTCAGCCTCATGGGGCTGTCTCTCAGGAACAAGGGGTGTGTGTGTGTGTGTGTGTAGTATGTGGACTGCGTTGTCGTGGAGTACAAGGGCATGTGTACATTGAAATGAAACATGGACAAGTGGTGTGTGTGGAGAAAGTACACAGGCACATATGTGTATGTGGAATACATGGACATGTGTGTGGTATGAAATGAGTACACGGACTGTGTGCATGGACAGAGTTCATGTGCATGTGTGGGTACAGGGTGAGCACATGGACACTGAGTGTGGGTTTGGAGTGAGTACATAGACTGTGGATGTGGAGTGAGTACGTAGACTGTGTGGATGTGGAGTGAGTACGTAGACTGTG